TATTTTTAATATAGTTTATTACATCTAACATGCCAAATCTGATTTTATAAATGTTACTACTATCTAGGATGAGGATAAAGTAGCTCTGGCAGTAGAGTAGATTACACATTGGGATGCTAACTGCAAAGTCAGCAGTTCAAATCCAGCAGTGGCTCCATGAGAGAAAGGTAAGGCTTTCTGCTACTGTAAAGATTTAGTCTTGGAAATCCCATATAGGCTTGCTTTAGTTCAAACTGACTCAATGGCACAAAGCAACAGCAGGGTAAGGGTAAAACCCAAACCACTGCCATCAAATTGTTAACTTATAGAATGAGGATAAACCTACTTAAGTAAAATGGTGAATTCATCTGAAAAACAATGGAGGCACATACATGCCTTAAGTTTGAAAAGCATCATCCAAATTAGATCAAGGAGCATTAGGAACCACAGCCAAACAGCATCAACCAAACTTAAAGTTGACAGGAAAACACTCACTGAAAGAATGGTACAAGTAAACTACACGATCTTATTCTCCACTCATCTCAGAGGTGGGAAAATTAAGAGGACTTAGGGTCAATCAAGGAGGTCTGGCAGCGGTAGCATAGTGGTTACGAATCGGGCTGCGAACCTTAAGGTCCAGCTGTTCCACAGTTCAAAACTACCAGCTGTTCCGCGGGAGAACAATGAGGGTTTCTGCTCCTGTAAAGATTTACAGCCTCGTAAACCTGTACAGGGTCACTGTGGTTCAGAATCGACTCGACAGCACTTAACAACAACAACAAGGGTCAATCAGACTACCAAGTCATTTGAACCGTAAGGTCGGTGGTTCAAGCTCACCAACTGCTCCTTGGAAACCCTACACAGGGTCGCTATGGGTCAGAATCGACTCTATGGCACTTAAGAACAACAACAGGGTCAATTGGAGTCCTGGTGTGGCACTGTGGGCTAATGTGTCAGACTGCAAAGTCATTTGAACTACAAAGTCGGTGATTCTAGCTCACCAGCTGCTCCTTGAAAACCCTATACAGGGTCGCTGTGAGTAGGAATCAATTCAATGACACTTAACAAGCGTCAATCAAAATAATAAAGGGTAAGAATCAGAGCTTAGTATAATTCTTCAACTTCTGACAAATTAGATTAAAAACATACTCAGAGCTGACCCTTCCACCATTTGCCATAAACAGTTAACTCCTTATCTTACTTCAACCACCTCCCCCCATCCTATCTGCTATGCTAAGATCTCCAAGGCAGTACCAAAGCACCAAAAAAGATGCCTTTACAGTTACCCAGTCAAAGCCTCCAGGCCTTACAATCCACAAAATTATCCCTCTGACACAGGCCTCTCACCCCCATTTAGTTTCTCCCAGGCTGATGGGCTTTCTATTAAAATACATGGTTAATCAGAGAAATTTCGTATGGAGAGCATTCTGAACTAAGTAAAGGTGAATTAGAGCGACCGACCGATTTTAGGGCTCATGGCAGGCCTCTTGCCAGGCCAGCCCCCTTGGCGCAGTATTTACCATCTGGAATAAGGTAAGAGTAGAGCAAGGTTGTCACTAGGCTTACTAACAATATAAACTCCATTCATGTACTCATGTACAATGTGTTTCTACTACAAACTACCCTTAACTGCACTCATTTAATAATCTTGTCTGCTCACAACTTTAAAGAAATGTGAGCACAGATTGATTCATTCTCAGAAACAGGACTGACTCCTGGACCCACGCTAAAGAGCACTTCTGAAACAGATGGTCACTCACCATCATGGTGCAATGAAGTGTCCTAGAAAGGATCTCGGGGCTTGTCTTAGTTATTAATGCTGCTGTTAACAGAACTATCACAAACAGCTGGCTTTAACCAACAGAAATTTACTGTTTGTTGTTAAGTGTCGAGTCGGTTCTGACTCATGGCGATCCTGTATAAAGTTTCCAAAGAGCAGCTGATGGGTTTGATCCACCAGCCTTGCGGTTAGCAGTCCAGTGCTACAGTTCCACACCAGACTCACTGTTTAGGAGGCTATAAATTCAAATTCAGAAAGTGAGCTCTAAGAGAAAAGCACTTTTTCTGTCAGCTCTGAGGACAGGACCTTGTCTCTTTCAGTATCTAGCAGCCCAGCATTCCTTGTATCTAGGCATCAATCTTCCTTGGATTAGGAGCTTCATAGGACAGGGACCTGGACTCCTCCACTCCAGGCTCTCCTTTCTAGGTGGTAGGCGGTCTCCCTTTCTCCTTTTATCTTTGTAAAACAAAAGATATGGCAAGCCACACCCCTGAGAAACTCCCTTACATCAGTTCAGAGTTGTGATGGGACTGAGGGTATTGTAGCCCACTCCTGATCCTTTTATGGTTTATCGTATCAGATGACACCATAGGGAAGCATCACATAACTGCCATATTATATGTTGCATAACTCCTAAACCACTAAGAATCAAGACCCAGCCAAGTTGACACATATGTCAGGGAGGGACACAATTCATTATATGACAGAGGACCTATAAGCAACCCAAGAGTCTACTTTATCCTATCACATTCTCATAAGAATTTGTCTATCAAATTGCTGGGAATTTGATAGACAAGAGGATAAAACCTGAGAAGTAGAAAAGGAAACATATGCATCTCACTAAGCAGGACTGTTTCAATAGTGTGGCAAACTGTGTGGCTCATAACACCCATAAATTCCTTGGAAAGTTCCTTAATACCATGCAAAATGTCTAAAACCAATTCCTGCTTTGACAATTCCTTACAATTATATAATCCATCTTGGATGACCCCTAAATTTTCTAAAACAGAGCCCACAATCAGATACCCCTTCAATAAATATACTGATGTCTCCTACTAAGAAGGGTACTTGACTCTCCATCTTCTCAAGTCCTAAATCTTTGACCTTGTCCCTAGAAAAGAAATGTCCCTTCCAAATCTCTAAATCTAGGCCCTTCATTTATTCTCTCCTCCCACTGCTTCCTTCTTTTCAGCCTTTAAGAAAACAAAGAGAGGGGGGAAAACCTAAACAAAAAAAACACCTTGAACACAGTTGGGTCTCCTTACACTTGAGTTTACTTCATAATTTTCTTCTTTAAAACCCCTAGTAACCAGGCTTGTTTCAACAACTCTATGAAACGCAAGCACAGAGGATTACTGACTCCCAATATCCTGGTAGTGTCGGGGATTAGGAGCTGGGCTGCAAACTGCAAAGTCAGTAGTTCAAATCTACCAGTTACTCTGTGGGAGAAACATGAGGCTTTCTGCTCCCATAAAGCTTTACAGTCCCAGAAACCCTTAACAGGGTGTCACTATGAGGGGAACTGACTTGATGGCACACAACCACAACCACCAATAGCAAAAGAGTCACTGACCATGCTGTCTATATCTAAGGCCCTGGCCTTTCAGTTCTGCTGCCTCCTCTTTTGCCTTCCAGTCTCCAAGGAGAGTTCAAGTTTGTGGTTAGATCCTAAAGTCTTTTCACCCTGCATCCTGTGTGAGCTCCTTTCCTCTGAAGAAATGACATCTGAAAATAGTTTTAGACATTCTTTTTCTCTAAACTTCCCTCTTATGCAGCTCCAAACCAAAATTAATCCAAACTCACTACCACCGAGTCAAAGCGATCCTATTTACGGTTTCCAAAGATGTAAATCTTCCTCTGGACGTTTTAACTGCAGACCTTGCAGTAGGCAGTACAATCCCTAACCCTACAGTACCAGGGCTCCTACCAGCAAACATTAACTTTGTCTCCTTCTTCATAAGGCTTCCAGATCTATCTCACATGTCCCACACTAAACTCACCAGAGCCTTTCCTAGATTGATACCACTCCACCTTCACTTTCCCATTCTACCATCCGACATGTCAACCAAACTTGCCTTCACAACCAGCCCCCAAGTAATACCTGATTCCCTTCCCTTCTAATGTGAGCTCCACTATGGTTGCAGGCTTGTGTCTTCTCTAGTGTTCATGAGTGACTGCTGTACCCTAGCGCTCACTCTCAACTGAAAGGCAGTCCTGGGAAGGGAGTTAAAGAAGCTAAGCTAATGGCACTGCCCTTCCTCATCTCAACTGCCACAGCATCACATTTCTCCCCAGTTAGTACACCTTCCTTTACATAAAGGTCTGTTTCACCAGCAAGTTGAATAGCCTCCCACTAAAAGTCATGACCAGAAAAAAACCACCACTGACTACAGGTTTCCTTGTCTTAAATGGATTCTGAGTTAAATGGAATACTTGAAAACAAGTGGTAAAACACATTCTGAATTGGTGAGTACCTGCATTTTAATGTAAGGATCTTTAAAGTTTTTATAGAAAGGGGGTGGGGAAACCTTTCCCGACCAGTTTCCACCAGTTAACTCTTGCTTTCTGAATGGAAGACACGTAAAAACTCGACCAGAAAGGCAAATAACAACTTTAAGTCACAAAGTGCCTGGTCCTTCAGTCTCCGCGGCGGCTACTCTAGGAGGGAGCTGAGCAGTTAGGTTCAGCTGGTTTCCTAAGAACCCTATCAGCGTTCTGCGGAGTTTCCAAGAGTTGCTTCCACACAGATGTCAAATTACGAAGTTGCAGAAGCAACTGTTCAGTTAGCCCACAGTTAGGAGCAGTACTCGAATTTCCAATAAAAGAAACGAGGCGAGTCCACCAGCTAAGGAAGTTGGGCGGGGGAAGAGGAATAGGCTTCCTGCACTGGACCCTCGGGCCACCTAGACTCTCAAGAGCCCAGTGTGTGTCCACCCTCCCGACCGCGCCGTGGGGGCCAAGTGGGGGCCCGGGGCCGGCGGAGGTGAGGGGCGCCCACCCCCGGAGTACGGCAATCTGCCGCCGCGGCCGGGCCCCCACGCACGTTTCAGCCCCAGGCGCCCGCGGCTCGCGTTCGGGTTTCCTGGCAGATAAGCGATAGGGAGCGCAGTCCCGGCAGGTTCGACGTAAAGCGGGCGAGAAGAGACCGCAAAGTCACAGGAGTCTGGGTTTCTCCGCGCCTTAGGGGGGGCGGGGGCCAGCCGTCCACAGCCTGGGGCGTGATGGGTGGGGGGCCGCCTACCGTGGCTCTGCAGGATCTCGTGCTTCAGGCCGCCCGTGTAGTCGATCAGCTCCTCCAGGCCGCGCTCGCACAGTTGCCCGTAGCCCGCGAACTTGTGCAGCACCTTCTCCAGCTCGCGCTCCACCGTCACGCATTGATCCATCCCGGAGGCGGCGGCGACGGCGGCGCTCGGCTCCCCGGCGCCCGGGTCTCCGCAGCCGTTCGGCCCGGGCCCGGCCGAGGCCGCGTCCTCCTCCTCGTCCCCCAGGCGTGCGGCGCGGGGGGCTGAAGTAGCCGAAGCGACAAGAGCGCTAGCCGCGGCGCCAGGGGAGCCCAGCGCAGCCTGCTCCCGCCGGCCCCATGACGCTCCGGCAAATCTCCCCCCCGCCTCGCCCCCCGAGCGTCGCCGCCGCTCCTGCTCGCCCCTCCCCCGACTCGCGTCCCAGGACCCTGCTCCGGGCGTTCGGGTGGCCGAAGCGGCGCCGCCGATTGTTTTTGTTTTCACGGGAACAGACCGATGACCTGGTTCTCCCGGGCTGCACCAAGCGCCGCCGTCCGAAGGGGGGGGGCAGCCACCCCAGCCAGGAAAGGAGGCGGCGCGGGACGTACCAAGCGCACTCTCAAAGGGGAGCAGCCCCGAGAGTGTGGGCGGGGGAACGCGACGGGAGTCCGCACGCGCCGCCGCTCTAAAGGCGTGGGCCGTACCACGCGGGAGGCGTGGAAGGGAAAGGGAAAGGGTGGAGCGAAAATCCAATTGGCCCGAGGAACCGAATAGGGAACTTTGGAGACAGCCCCAACGCTCCGAGTGCGCAACAACTACGCGCTTCGTAAACAAGAGGGTGGAAACTGTCCCTAGCCACTCCCCCCAGAAACAGGAAAGGGAACCAATGGACTCAGGGAATACATAAGAAACAAACGTCTTCCTATCCCTGGCCGGGACTTAAATCTTCAGCCAATCGGGATTGAGGGGCCAAACCAATGGTCTCGCTGTTGGAGGGGCTCACTTGGAGAGTGTTTGCGATGCTAATCGTTTCTGGAAAGCATGAGGGTAAACAAGGCAAAACCTAAAAGAGTTGTTTTCCCTTTTCATAGGGCTTCATACTAACTACCATGTTATTTCATCTTTCCATCCATCATACCTAAAGGAAAGGAACGCCGTCATTCTGAAGTTGCGAAAGGCGGACCAACTGCCCCTGACGAAAAGTCAAGCTGTGCTGTGGGTCCGGGGGCGGCTAGTGAGGTCTCAAGAATAAAGGGCTCAGGAGATTCTGGCAACGAGTTAGGTAGCTGCTGGCCGGCGAGGGATGGCCCAACGAGGACGTCGCGACACTCGAGAGATCGTATTCCCCATTCCCAAGTAATTCGGTCCTTTGGCCCCTCTACCTGGAGCAGAATGGAAAGAACATGCATCCGGGAGCCAGGCAGCCTGGATGCTGCAATACAAGCTTTATTACGTCGAATCGGATCGTGTTTCTTCGTTGGCTATTCCTGGCTCTTTCAGACCAGACCCCACTGGCTTCATTCAGCAACACTACCCTCAGTGCTGGGGCTCCCAGTTTAGCAGGGCCTCTGCACTTGGCCAATTCCTTGGCCTAAAAAACTGTTCCTCCTACGTGCCTTCTAAAGCTTTTCTCCACTCACTGACCAAGCTAGCTTATCCTTAAACTTCGGTTACTCCCTACGCCAGTGCTAGTATGACATCCACCATGTGTCAGAACCAGTTTTACTATCTGCACATCACTCAGGAAAATGTGCCAACTATCTGATTCCTTTCTTCTTTAACTTCTGTGTGTCTTCACCACACAATACAAGCTCCCTGGTGAGAGGCAACTTCGCTTTTTCTGTGCTGAGAAGAGTGTATGATAGCAGAGTTGACAATCGTTCATACGGAGCCCTAAATACAGACGTTCAGTGTCCATCTAGTCGGTCCTCCCTCTGCGCGGAAAGGCTGGCGGGCTCGAACAGATGATCTTATGGTTCACAGTCCAGTGCTTTTCGTATGGAGCCACTCCACTTCCCAAATACATACATATATATCATTTCATTAAGGTGATAGACTTTTTGAGCCTTAGTTTCCTTTATAATTTGGAAATAATAACGCCTGCTTCACTAGATTATTAGGAAGACTGAGTGAGATAATATATATATAAATGCTCATAACAGATACCTGATAGTCCCATGATGGATGGGGATGTTTAGTCAGTTCCTAGGAATAAATCATAGATGGCTAAACAATTTTGGAATCTAAGCTCTGTGAGAAAACGGTGAATCCCAGACACTACCTCGGCCCCTTTTAGGCACTAGCGGATCAGTATAAACTCCTAATTTAGACCTTACCCTGATGGGATTCTGGAGGAAAAACTGAGGAAGACTGCTGCTGATGGGTTATCACGGGTGTTTACCAACAAACGCTCAAGAAATCCAATCCATAGTTGTTTTAGCGAGATAGAGGCCTGTTTACTCAATTTTGCAAAATTGGGTGTCACAGCCAACTTGCAAACAATTTTATTCCCCTATCTAGGAAAAAGCCCCTCTTCCATTTCCTCTTTTCCTGGGTATTTTGGAGTTTACAATCTTTCCCTTCTTTCTCTTAGATCACCTACTAGTCCTTACTGGGAACATTCTCATTTAAACTTACTTTCCCCCTCCCCATGAACTTCCGGTATTTCCTTGATGGCTGTATTCTTTTTTAAGGTTTTTATTGTGAATTGGGTGAAAGTTTACAGGGCAGAGCATCAGTTTTACATTCAATAAATCATACACCTTGTTTCATTACAATGATTAATAATCCCCTCCATGTACCATCAGTTAACAGTATTTCTCTGTATTCACTTTAGCTTTAAAAAAAAATTAAACACCCAAGCATATATAATAATTTATACCTCTAAAGGGCACATTCTGCAAGTCAGCCTCCTGGGCACCAGCTCTCCTTCCTTCTGTTTCCATGAATCTAGAGTCCTCAGCAGCTCCCACTCTCCACGACCCCATCTCTGCCTCCTTCTCTTGCGTGGCTGCTTCTCAGGATAAGTCCTGCATTCTGCTTGTGCTCTTCTCCCTTGATGGTCCTAGGGTCCCATGTTTCTGGACTGTAAGATTAACCAGTCCCCTGTTTTTGTTACAAAACTTCTACCTTTATAATTGTGACAGTCGCAATTAGTCATGAGAACAATTACTCAGTATTGAATCACATGAATCTTATCCCCATCTCTTTTCACCAGACCCATCTAAACAAGATGAAAACTATTCAGTGGGGATGCTTTCTCCCCCCACCCACTCTTAAACTAAATGCCTTCTTGACACCTTGTAAGCCAATCACTTCGTGCCTTTATCGCCCCCTCATTTTAGGTAGCCAATGTCTAAGTTACCCATCCCTATCTACTGTGTATACAGAAGGGATAGCATTGATACTTGATGTGAAGACTCCTTCCCTTTCTGTTGGTATTTAGAGTTACTACCTCCATGAATGGAACTCTGGTAGTGTAGTGGTTACAAATTGGGCTGTGAACCTCAAGGTCAGCAGTTCGAATTTATCAGATGTTCCACGGAAGAAAGATGAGGCTTTCTGCTACCGTAAAGATTTACAGCCTCAGAAACCCTGTACAGGATCGCTATGAGTTGGAACCAACTCCATGGCATATAACCAACCAACCTCCATGAATATAGTTCAGGTTCATCAAATTGTAGCAATTTACCCTTGTTTCCCTTATCAATTTTTTTTTTAGTCTTCCTCTAGTTGAATTCTGATTATCAAGCCATCAAAGCTAGGTCAAATGGGTACTGGCTGCAAGTTTGTATGTTCTTGTGAATCTCCCCTCACTTCATATCAGCTGGATGCTTCACTCTCAGCTCTAGCCCTCTGTGGCTATGTCCTTGTCCATGGGCTCAAGTGTCCCCAGGTCTCACCACACTTTGGACCAACCAGCCCTTCCTCTTCTCTCTCTCATCTCCAGGTCAATGGGAGTCAATGGACTGTGGTTGAACTCAGCCCATTCCTTCATTGTTGCCTTTCCCCCTCTTCCACTCACCAGTGGACCAATGTGGTTGTCATCAAGCTTACATACCTGTTTGTGTGTTCCCTTTGAGTTTCAGTCTTAGAGGGGAGTTTGTCCTGAAAGAACTTGACTGCTTGCCTTGATATCTTCCTGGCAAACAGCTTGCTTATTCTTGTAGTAGCCAGTCATGCTGACATTTTTGTTTTGGGATTTTCCTGATGATCTTTCTTTGAAGATGTATCTTCTGTTGCTGTAGCTGCTCCAGGCTGGTCTGCATGTCCTTGCTAGTGAGACTGTCCCACCTCAGAAGGTTCTGGATGGGACTCAGGTTTCCACCTAAGATCCTATACTCTGCAAAGGCTTTGCAAGAGGCCTATTTCACTAGGCAAGTTCTAGAACCCCTTCTAGGTATTCCAATCAGTTATAGGCTGAAGATGGGCTTACAAGTTTTCTCTAATCATGTTTTCCAAATTTCCTTTCTATCCCACTCAAGTGTCTATTTTACAACAGTAGACAAGGGAAACCTAGATTCATAAGACAGTCAAGCATTTTAGCATTATTTCCCCTCTTCAAACTATGCCTAGATGTCTATAATACAGAGCCCTATTGTTCCAAGGTTGAGTATGCATCACTATTTACCTCTGTCCCACTTAGGCCATGCAAACCTGTCTCAGTGTTCCCCTATCTATCTTGTTCTTCCGCCTCTTCCCTCTTCTTGAATTGTCCTCCCCAACACCCAAACTAAACCTGCCACCCCAACCCCACTGTTGTGGTTACCTTATATTCCATTAAGTCTTCTCTCCATTTAAGACAGTCTATTTTATCCTGTAATCTACCTGACCTTCCCACCACCTGGATCTCTGTTGCTCTTTCATATTGTAATTGTTTTGATCATAGACTGACCTCCCAGATCCTCTGTTCTTAATAATTTTATTCTGTTCTTGACTCTTCCATTTGTC